TCGCTCCGTGGACCCCTTGCCCCGCTATTTGCCCCTCAACCGAGAGCTTTATGCCCCAAGCTGGTCGCGGTTTTCTTGCCCCAAATGTCTTGTGCGAAACCCGCGCGCGTTGACGCGCTCTCAGACTCTTCTGATGGCGCTGATGTGCCGGTGGTGGCAAAGAAGCCCGCTCGCCGCGTTCTCTGGGCCCTCTGACCGTGTCCCATAATTAGACCCCCCACCCCCCGTCGTGCTCGCATTGGCCCCCCAGGGGGATGGGGTCTCGATGCCGATTGTGCACGATTGGGGGGTGGTGATAGATTTCTCATCACGTCATACCATGATAGCCCCAGGTTCTGGGCACTCCGATGAAGGCGATGTCAGCCAAACCAGCGGCGGCCGAACCCATATCAGTTGCTGCTACACCCGCCGCTGTGGACGACGACCACGCTGGCGAGGACATCGCCGGCGAGAGTGCAGATCCGATATGTGACGACGATGGTGGTGAAGAAGTAGCCGCCGCGGGTTTACCTGACTCTACGGGGGCGCCTGATGATGAACTTGGCGACGCCGCTGCAGACGATGCTTCGGACACCATAGAGGAGATTGACGACGAAGACGGCACTACTGAGCAGTCCACCCTGAAGCGCCCAGCAGCAAGCTCGACAGCTACGGGCCCTCCTCCCCTCAAACGGCCTGCTGCTGCTACGTCCGCTGGCACGCCTGAGGTTGCGCCCGAGCCCAGTGACACCGACGAGGTGCCGCCCAATCCGCAACTGACGAACGACCAGCTCAAGAATGGCGACAATGTCAAGATCAAGCCAAATACTGGTCGGCTGTACTACGTGAATGGCAAGCCCCCCTACCGCGTGATGGAGTACAAGACGAAGTCTGCCGCCGGCGTGACCTTTCATTACAGAGACACCTCGAACCGTGCGCAGACGACCCAGATAGCCAATGTCCCGCCCCCCATGCCGCTGTTCTCTCTTCATCTGGGCATTGCTTCCGCTACCATGCAATATATGCAATAGTTATGTGGGGCCGTGCTAATGGACATGATGGTGATGACGACGATGATGGTCGCAATGCTGATGATGATGATGATGCTGATGATGATGATGATGATGGTGATGATGGTGATGATGATGGTGTTGATGATGAGAATGCTGACGCAGATGATGGCGGTGATGCAGTCGACGATGATAACAACGATGACCAGTGTGACGAGCGAGTGACGGGGCGCATCATCAACTGATGCTGGCGATGATGCTTCTGATGGCGGTGAATGCACCACAGATTTTGACGACGATGCTGATGATGGTGGCGACGGCGATACCGACCATGACGGCCATTAGCCATTAGCCATTGAATAAGACGACGGTGGCGACTATTCGGCATGATCGGAATGCTGGGGCCAATCTGTTTTACAACACTTGCCCCTGGGTGCGTGATTGAACTGATGCCCGCGATGGCTTCCAGACCAAGACAGCACAGGATGTCAGAAACCATATCCGGTACCGAGCCCCCGCCTTGAACAATGCTGGGACACGAGATGGGTCGACGATATCCCGCTCTTGGCCCTCCCCCTCTAACTGAGCATGCGGACCCCGCGGAACCCGAGTGTGATATCTTTGAGGAATCCTGCTCACGGGCCTGCCTCATGCCACTCCTTCCCTCCTTCCTCTCTGATGTCTCTCGGGGGTTGTTTATGTATTCTACCTTCAGCCTCCTCCACCTTCAATTACCTTCCGCTTCCTGGTCATCCCATTCCTCCCCCGCCGTAGAAAGCCATTTTGGGCTTCGTCGAGGTCATTCGTTTAAGTCAAGTGAGAGTTTGCTGATCACTCTATCTTTCTAGCAATGCCGCCGAAGAAACGCAGGTCAGATGCTGCGGCGGGTGGGTCGGTGGGCCCCAGTGTCAAAAAACTCGCTGTGGCTGGCGTGAGCATGGTTGATGCCGCTGCCAAGGAGGACGCAGCTTACGTCAAAGCAGTTTTGAAAATGTTCGAGGACGAAGTCAAGGGTCCGAACCGGCAAGTCTATGATGTCCTGGACAAGGCCTACCCGACGAGAGCTGACCGGGAGGCGTTCTGCAAGTGGATCGAGGCATCGTTCCCAGGTAGCCCCGACCTCCAGTACATCGAGAACTTCGCCAGCGGCCCGAAGATTCTGCGAGCTTGGCAGTTGAGCTGGCACCCGAACAGCGGCAACTCGGGGGGGGCGAGCCATGATCAGATGCAGAAGCTCTTGACGCTGATGTGCATCAACGGTTTTCAGAGCAACAGCGACCTCCACATCGCCATCGAGAAGCTAGCGGTCACGGCGCCGAACCCCAGGTTGCATGCTGGTGAGCGGAGAGATCACCCCAAGATCGGCGGCTACACGCTCGGCCACCAGGACACTCACCGTAAAACCCGCCATCCCCGCTCCTCTACAGTTTCTTATGTCGTTGACTGGTGTTGGTTTCTTGCGGCCCTTTCGGGTTCCTCTCGTGGCGCTCTTCTTGAGTTCTCCGGTGGGCCTCTTCGGCCCTATCTCTGAGCCATCCTGGCCGTCTTGGAAGGGTATTGGGCAGCTTCGGATGCCTCTAGGGCCCTCTAGCCTGGATGCCTCTTGTGCCCTCTAGCCCCCAAACAAAGCACGGTGCTGTTCAAACGATTTGTAGAAACTCGTTCGGGCCGTTTGGCCCCGCCTCATGGGCCTGCCATGCTGGGCGATCCTTGCCTTGAGCTCTTCTAGAACCTTGTGGGAACCCTCTTCTCTCGGAGTAGCCTCGACGGCCCATCAAGTACGCAATGCAGATCGAGCCGAGCAACTTTGCTCGACGACCAGCCGCGCCCTACCTTGCACGACTAGTACGTTTCATTCCTCATTTCCTACCTCGGCTCTGCCTAGAAGGGTTCTTACCGTATAAGCTTAAGGGGCCGGGCAGTTGACTACGCCCCGGGCGGTTCCCCCGGCATCCGCCCCGCAATTCCCCCATGATCCCCCGCTTTGCCTAGCCTAGCTTAGCTTAGCTTAGCTAGGCTTAGCTTAGCTTAGCTTAGCTTATCTTGGTTTAGCTTAGCTTAGCTTAGCTTGGCTTGGTTTAGCTTAGCATAGCTTGCCCTTCCTTAGCTTAGCGCAGCGCAGCATAGCGCAGCATTAGCACAACATAGCATAGCATAGCCAATCATAACCTAGCATAGCATATCATACCATAACATAGCTCAGCATAGCATTGCATACCATAGCATAACATAGCATAGCGCATTATAGCATAGCATAGCATAGCATTGCTTAGCATAGTACAGCGCAGCATAACATAGCATAGCACAGCACAGCATAGCGCAGCATAGCATAGCATCGCATGTCATAGCATATCGCAGCATATCATAGCATAGCCTAGTATAGCATAGCATAGCGCAGCATACCATAGCATAGCGCAGCATAACATAGCATATCATGGTATAGCGCAGCATAGTATAGCATAACATAGCGACGCATATCGTAGCTTACCTTAGCTTAGCTTAGCGCAGCATAGCGCAGCGCAGCATTGGCACAGCCAAGCATAGCATAGTATACACTGTCATAGCGTAGCATATCATAGCATATCAGGCAACACAAACGCAACGCCAACGCGAAAGGGTACATGTATATGCAGATGTAGGTGTAGGTGTAGATGTGGATGTAGGTGTAACTGTAGATGTAGATGTAGATGTAGGTGTGGATGTAGATGTAGATGTGAGTCTCGCTGTTGATGTTGACGTAGATGTAGATGCATGTGTAGCTGTTATTGTAGCTGTCGGTGTATATGTAGATGTTGCTTTCCTAGATGCTCCAACTCCTAGGTAGGGTCGCACTGGGATAATTCCTTCTTATGGTTTGCATTCCCGAGGCCTGTGATTTGCAGAAGGGTTGGAAGCGCACGTTGGCTCTGTATTTCGTGTTCCACGCGGTCAAGACGTCCGACATGCTGGCCAGCCTCAAGGAGAATTTCACAGACACGCAGCTCGCCGACTTCGGCAACGTGTGCGCCATCGTACCAGACGCCAAGTCCGACATCGATCGCATCGACACCAACCTCACAGCATCTCTCGTGGCTGCTGCCTCGCGGGAACGGCCGAACTGCTTCAAATGGTTACACCAAGTGCACAAGAAGTTGCTCCTCGGCGCCTCCGAGAAGGATGTGATCAACCTTTGGAAAGATGCAAAAGAAGTGAAGACAGTGTACGGCATCGGGCAAGGAGAAGCTACCGCTGTGGTGAACCTCTGCCTTGGCATCCCGAAGGAGGCTACTGATGTCTTGAAGAATGCTGCTGCCAAATGGGGAGTCGTGAAAGGGCCCGTGACACACGCAGGCATCGGATGCCCTGCGATAACAGAAGGATGGGGCCCAGACATGAACACCGCTGATCTGTCCAATGAGTTCAAAAACACGGCCCACACCGTGCTCCTCATGGCCAAGAAGGCGGTGAAGGTGTTCGAGGACGCGCCTGCGCCTTTGCGGAAGCCGAAGGGCCACGCGGAGATCGTCGAGTTGCAGCTCCTGTGCCGCGGCTTCGAGGTAAGCATGACCAAGGTGAAGCAGCGGCTCCCCGAGCCCGTCTATAACGTGCGATAGGGTTTAACGACCCCCCACCTCCTCCTCCTTCTCCTCCTCCTTGCCTTCCTCCTCCGCCTCCTCCTCCTTCTCCTTCTCCTTGCCTCCTCCTGCACTTGCGCCTACTCCTCATCATCCTCCTCCCCCGTCCTCGTATTTTCTGTCCGTCCTGATTCCGCTTCCTCCTCCCCCTCCTCGCCCTTCGTCGATGAGCCTGTCTGCTCCTCTACTTCGACCTCCGCCTCCTCCTGGTCCTGCCTGGTCCTGGTCATCCTGGTCCTGCCTGGTCCTGCCTGGTCCTGGTCCTCCTGGTCCTGCCTGGTCCTCCCTGGCCCTGCCTGGTCCTGCCTGGTCCTGGTCTCGCCTGGCCCTGCCTGGCCCTCCTCCTCCTCCTTCTCCTCCTCTCTATCCCCCTCCAACCTCCAAGGCCAACGTGGACATGATGTGCGAGAAGTTCATGGCTGGGTTCATGGACGCCAGCCTGCCGCCAGCAGTGGACAACGCACTGACCGACTTGGACATCTGCTTGATACCCGAGTTCCGCTCGCTGATAGCTGGCGTCGAGGAGGAGGAACGTCGGAAGAACCTAGAGAAGAGCGAGGAGCTCAACGCGAAGCTGCAGCAGGCCTCGCTGGAGAACTTACTGCAACGTCTCGCTGTGGACAAGCAGGCGCTGATGAAGTACTACGCCGACGTGGCGAAAGATATCAATTCGTTCAGCGACCGGGAGGCCGCCCGAAAGAAGAAGCTGTCGAAGACGGGGATGGATGCCGTGAGTGCCCGGATGACCACGCACTGCTATGTCGTCGACACTTCGCAGGTGAAGTCCAACGAGCTCGTGGGCACGATGACGGCAGAGTACAGCTCGTGGAAGCACGACGTCGCCTCCCTCGCGACACAAATGTCAGATACCACTCCGTCCGTATGGACGCTAGTTGTGTTGGATTTCTCAATCGCGCCGCCCATGGAGGACATGGACTCCTACATCCAAGTCTGCGCTAGCATCCTACATCAGGACTCCCTGAACGCGGCTTTCGTTCTCTTCCCGAAGACCCACAAGGCTCTCGACGTCGCTCGCCAGCTGAGCCTCGTGCGGCGCATCGAGGATAAGCTCCTTGGCGCGGCGGTGGATATCGAGAGGGAGGTCGACGTGCACTACAGCGTGCAAGACGAGCATGGGAACGATGCGAGGCCGCACAACCACAGAGCCAGACTATGCGTTTCGAGTCGGGTGGGGACCAAGAGCCCCTGGTCCAGGGGGAAGCTTTCGCGGGGCGCCTTGAATCTGGAGCTCATCAGGGTGAAGGACATGACGGTCTTCAAAGAAGTTGGATTTGGAGATCCGTCGAGGGAATTGGGCCCCGGTGACAGGTTGCTACAAAAAGGACCAGCCGCTTGCAAAGGAATCTTGGCCATGACGAGTGCGGAGAACCTACCGACGTGCACCAGGAACGACAAGCTCTTGGTGGTGGATATGTGTCCCGCCATTTCGAACCAGTGGGCGTCGGCTATCATGGACTCACAGCTTGAATGGTTGCAGCAGCCGGACATCACCCTCCCCATGCCGTTTTACCTCGGCATGAACAGGACCTCGAAGGAGATCTCCGCGAAGCTCAAGGCGGACTCAGCCGCCAAGATGTTGCGGGATTGGTGGTCCACTCAGGTCCCGTGCTCCGAGGATGATTGCTTTTGGAAATCGTTCGTTTCGATATTTCGCCCATCCTCCCACCTCCAACCTCAACCTCCACCTCCAGCCTCCATCCTCCCACCTCCAACCTCAACCTCCACCTCTGTTGAGATGGAGGAGAGGCTGATCATGAGGCACGGCATGCGATGGCCCACGTTTGTGCGTGTGTGCGTGAACGCTTTGGGCCACCTCGGTCAGGAGAGTGGCCAGGTGGTGCTGGCCTCGAAGCCCACTTTGGAGATCTTGGTGTGGAACTGCTCTGACGCAAGCAAGGGTGGTGATGACTATGGCGTGAAGCTGAGAGACGTACACCACGTAGCCTTCGACGACTCGACGTCCTGCAAGGACACTTGGGACGCCCAATCGCGGTCGGTGCTGGATGAGTTGAACTGTCTTGCACCTCGCGCTAGCACTGGCGCTGGCCCTAATGTCACGCATATCCAGCCTGACTACACGGACAGCCCGCCTCCTGTGATCGAGACCAAGACGCTCAAGGTTTTAGATGATTTCAACGAGGAGGAGGTTCTTTTCAAGTCGCGGCCTTTGGTCGACAAGCCCATCATCTACGTCATGAAAGACTTCAGAATCGTGCTCAAAGTATGCCCTCAGACCAGCGGGAACTCTGCCATGCAGCTTCGCCCATTCGAGATGTTCGGGTTCGGGGCCGGGGACTTCGTAGTTGAGAAATGGGATGTTTTAGCCAAGGACGTCAACAACCACCTGCAGTTCAAGATCGACGACGATACCAGCTGGATCATCTGGGGCCTGGAGGCCGACGAGGCCGGCGCGCTCAACGAGGTGAAGACTCACCCTTCTGTGCGAGGCCGTGGCTACCGCGCTGGAGAAGAAATCACTTGACAACGTTGGGCTGCAGTTCTACAAGTTGACTCCAAAAACAAATACAGATGGTACTACTGAAGTTCGTTTGCGGCACACTGTGACTTCGCACATCCAGTCGACTGCTTTCATTCCGACTCCGATGTCAGACGCTTTGCTGGTCAAGAAGGATCAGAAGGCCGCTCAGCTAGGAAGCGCCTTCCTCGGTAAGTTCGGGCTCCTCCCGAACAACGATTGTCGCATCTTGTGGGATTGTACCTTGGACGAGGCGAACCCGGCGCAGTTCAAGCCGATCAAGCCGAAGTGTTGGTTCGTGAAGAACACCTCGCTGGACGCGAGTACCTACTACGTGCTGGAGTGATTTACTGATGCTACACTTTCTATTTCGCGCTCGGCAGGTGGATACTATCAATGGAGGCGGGAGGTTGTGGACGAGTAGGGAGGGCGAGGAGGGACAAACAGGATGAGATGAGGAGGATAATGCCTACGACGCATACACTCTGGCCCCTGCAGAGATTTATTTGGCCCCAGTCGCTCGCAGACGGACTCTGCGGCTGTGGTCATAACCTCGACGAGTTCTGCGAGGCTCATGCTCGATGCCTCAGCGTGAGCAGAAACTTCCAGTAATCCTCCTCCGTATCCTTGCCTATCCTCCTTCGACTGGCCCTCGTTTATCCTCCTCCACCTCCTCCCCCTCCTCCTCGTGAACCCTTGCCTCGGCCTTCTCGCACTGGCGCTCGCGAAGGGCCCGTGTCGGACGGCTGATGGGGGACCCATGAAGAGCCTGCGAGGACCCGTAAGGAACCCAAGAGGCGCCCATGAGGCGCATAATCATAAAATGATCCCAGTGCGACCCTACCTAGGAATTGGAGCATTTAGGAAAGTAACATCTACATCTACACCGACAGCTACATTTACATCTACACCTGCATCTACATCTACCTCAATATCAACAGCGAGACTCACATCTACATCTACATCTACACCTACAACTACACCGACATATACTTCTACATCTACACCTACATCCACATCTACATATACACCCACACCTGCATCTACATCTATACTTTCGCATTGGTTTTGCGTTTGCTTTGCATTGCCTTTGCTTTTGCTCTTGCCTTTGCTGTTGCCTTTGCCTTTGCTGTTGGTTTTGCTTTTGCTGTTGCTTTTGCTTTGCTTCTGCGTTTGCTTAAACTTTGTTTTTGCGTTGGCTGCGCTATGCTATGCTACGCTAGGCTGTCCTATGTTATGCTAGGCTATGGTATGCTATGCAATGCTGGGCTATGCTATGATATGCTGTGCTATGCTGCGCTATGCTATGCTATGCTATGCTATGCTATGCTGCGCTATGCTATGCTATGCTGGGCTACGCTATGATATGCTATGCTAAGCTAAGCTAAGTTACAGCTACGCGAAGCTAAGATAAAGCTACGCTAAGCTAAGCTACGCTAAGATGAGATACGCAAAGCTAAGGTAAGGGAGGGCAGCTGGGGGAACCGCGGGACGGGGACCGTGGGAACCGCCCGGGGCGGAGCCCACTGCCCGGCCCCTTTAAGCCCAGCGAGTAAGAACCCTCTAGGCAGAGCCTAGGTAGCGAATGATGGGGATAAGGATGTGGATGACGATGAGAAGATACTGCGGATGAGGACCTGATCAAACGGAAAATGCGCGATGGCGCGAGGATAGCCGCGCTATCCGCACCGGGGGCGCGAAGCGCGAGGTGAGGTGACCTGGGCTGGGGTGCTGAAACCGCCCCCCGTCGTCGTCGTCGTCGTCGTCTTCGTCGTCGTCGTCGTCGTCGTCGTCGTCGTCGTCGTCGTCGTCGTCGTCTTCGTCTTCGTCGTCGTGGTGGTCGTCGTCGTCGTCGTGGTCGCGGTCGTCGTCGTGGTCGCTGTCGTGGTCGCGTTCGTCGTCGTCGTCGTCGTCGTCCTCGTCGTCGTCGTCGTCGTGCAGTCCAGTCCGTGAGGGTGGCGACGACGACGACGACGGGGGCGGTGCCTTTCCTGCCAGGTCCAAGTCAAGGGTGCCACCCTCGAGCAGAACAAGGGCATCGCCGATGCGATCGTCAGCGATCTTAACAAGGGCATGAGCCGCGCCGACGCCGTCGCGATCCTCGAGAAATGGAAGAACAACCTCACAGCCACACTTGAATCGGCAGGGTCCAACCCGTCATAGTAGGCTTCCCCACTCGAGGGAGGACGATGAGGATCCTAAAGGAGGAAAGCGAGGCGGGAGGGGATATGATGGGGACGTGTGAGTGATGATCCTGATGATGGGGGGGTGTGAGGAAAGAGGGCCTGGATGGAGATGCTTGTGATTTTCAGAAGGTGGGATGATGATAGTGATGATGAGCGCCTAGGAAGGATGCATATGCGGGCCAGGATGATTGCGGCGATGATGATGATGATGATGATGATGATGATGATGGTGATGATGATGATGATGATGCTGATGATGATGATGATGACGGGGATGAGGAGTTGGAGAGACGACGGGGAGGAGGATGAGGAGGAAGAAGACGAGGAGGACCACAGCGCCGACCTGCTTCTGTATATTAACTTTAAGAGCGAGCCGTGAGCTCGCCACCAGCCGCTTGGGCCGACGCTCGACGCTTCTGCCCTCGCCCACCCGACGCAAACGTTTTTTTCGGCGGAGCCCCTAGCGAGAGCATGACTTGGATCATCAAGTAAATTCCCTTCGCAGTGCTTGCTTGTGTACGCCTGGCACCGGCGAGCTAGCTCGCGCGATCGTTCATACGACTGTTCAAGGGTCCTCGCTAGAGATGCACGCGGTCACATGCACTGGCAATCAATGCACCGCCCGTTTGATTGGTCTTCGGCTATGAGATATGATGTGTCGTGATTCCTCACTTTAGGGATTTCTCCCCTCCGTCGCCCTCTCCCCGCCCGTCGCTCCCAGCCTCGCCATTATCCTGGTTCTCCCTCTCCTCCTCCTCCTCCTACTCCTCCTCCTCCTCCTCCTCCTCTCCTCCTCCTTCTCCCCCTTCTCCCCCTCCTCCTCCTCCTCCTCCTCCTCCTCCTCCTCCTCGTCTTTCTCGAACCCCCCTCTCCCGTCCATCCTCTTCCTTCCTCCACTCCCTTCGTCGTCTTTGGCTGGGACGTCATGGCAAGACAACCTCCTCGGACGTTTCTCACGCCGGCATCCGCCCCGGCCCCTCATTGCCATGCTCGTGCAAGCTCAAAGTCGCTTACTGTTGCACTGGACTCAGATGTGCAGCCGCGGAACTCGTGGGATACCAAATCCGACGGCTCGATTTTGAATGGCCCCCTTTCTTTCTCTTTTCCCGCCCCCCCCTTCCACTCGCCCCCCATGGGCAAGATGAGGGATGAGAGAGAAGCACGATAAAGGATCGAGGACGAGGAGGATCGATGATCGATGATCGACGTGCATGGAAATCATAGGTTTTCTTTGGGCCTCCTGAGGCGCCCCCGTGGCCGCGACTTGACCCGCCTCGGGGTTTCGAGGATCGATGGTTTCGGAGGTTGCCTCCTCCATCTTCTGCTCCTCGATCTTCGTCCTCCTCATCCTCCTCGAGCCTCCTCATCCTCATCCTGCTCCTCCTCCTCGTGCTCCTCCCCCGTCTTCTTCTGCTCCTGGAAGTGGTGCTGCAAGAAGAGGGGGCGGTGGCAGCTCTGAATCGCTGTCTCTACGATGACGGGGTCAATTTGATCTCGGAGCTCGGCAATCTTTCTCCGCCAGAGCGCCGCAGGTACGCAATTGAATGCCTGCATGTCCCCATATTAGGCTTCGCACCAATGCGCATTCGATGTTTTTTTTTTTTGTCACACATACCCGACGGGTCGCGGCGGCCAAGACGCCCTAGAAGGGTTTCACAGAGGCCCCGCGGGGCCTTCAAGATGAGTCCAATAGGCTCCGAACGGTCTTGACATGCTTTGTGGCAATCATGTGGGACCTCGTTTGGGCGTTTCGGGGCCTCTGGTCTTTTGGGGGGCTCCTAGATGAGCCTCTTCTTGGAAGACGCATCTTGACGGCCCCGTGGGGCCTCTCGGAACCCTTCTGGGGCGTTTTGGCCGCCGCGGTCCGTCGGGTGCGATGCGTGAAGTACATCTGCATCACTGTGAAACCTATTCGGGGATCTGCATGCATTCAATTGCGCGCCTGCGGCACGCTGGCGGAGACTGATTGCCGAGACCGCGATTCAGAACCTCCACCGCTCCCTCTTGCAACACCACTTCCAGGGGCAGAAGAAGACAGGGGAAGGGTGCGAGGAAAAGAAGGAAGAGGATGAGGAGGAAACGGAAGATGAGGAGGATGACGAAAGAAACCTGGACCCAAGATGAGTATGAGGGGGAGTAGGAAGGAGGAAGAAGAAGAAGATGAGGAGAGAGATGATGATGAGGGGGATGAGGAGGGGGAGCCCGCCCCCACACCATGAGGAGGTCAGAATAGAGTCGCAGCGTGAACGCGGCACCTGCGACGAGCTGGCCGGCGAGGCCGTCGTTTGAGTTTAACGGGCCTGGCACGAGCGCCAGACCTCCTCCTGGCCAGCAGTAGACAGCTGCCAGACGATGGCGTGTGACGAAGCGGGGACCCCCGGGCTCCCTCCTCCTCCTCCTCCTCCTCCTCCTCCTCCTCCTCCTCCTCCTCTTCCACCTTTGGCGACGACGACGGCGACGGCGACGGCGGACGACATCGGCGATAACCGCGTCGTTTTCGGATTGCGGCGCCGAGCCTGATTAGTGGCCCTTGCCTGTCAAAATCCGCGAGCTGTGACCTCAAGTAGGTCACAGCTCACTGACCTCTCGTAGGTCGCGGAACGAGCCAACAAAACTCCCGAGAATGTCCCAGGAACGATGAGGGCGATGCTGACGAGGACGACGCGGTTGCTGAAGATGATGGTGATAGTAGAGGAAGTGGGAACCAAGAAATATGATAGATCATACATTTAATGTAGCATGATGCTTAGGAAGCGCTTCCCCACTCTTTCGGGGCGACGACCACGTCGTCGCCATCCTGAACTACGCCGGTGACCTGGAAAACCTTGCAATGCATGTTTCGGTTCTGCGTGCTGTTCACACTTGCCCGAAAACGACCTCATTGCCCATGCGGGCTTATCAAATACCAAGTGCGAATATGTTTGTTATGACTATGGTAATGGTTAAGATGCCGATGAGCATGCTGGCGATGACGGTTACCATAAAGATGCTGATGCGGATGCTGGCCGCAACGACGAGGATGACGATGGTGGCGCACGTGACGATGAGGAAAACAATGCGGATGAAAACCCTGACGCAAATGATGATGAAGAGGCTCACGGACGACGGGATCGCGCGCGTGCGCGCGTGCGTGTGCGCATGTCTGACCACAACCACATACGTCGCGACCTTGAGCTTCTCCTCCTCCGACGACGGCGACCCATTCATTGCCCATCCTTTCCTTCCTGCCCTTCCCCGCTATCTGCGCTCATCGCCTTCCCCCTCCTCCTCCTCCTCCTCCTCCTCCTCCTCTCCCTCCTCCTCCTCCTCTCCCTCCTCCTCCTCCTCCTCCTCCTCCTCCTCCTCTGCCTCCTCCTCCTCCTCCTCCTCCTCCTGCTCCCGCCGAGGCTCAAGCGCGCGACGGCTCAAAAACGGTCGTGGCCCCCTAGGGTTCCCCCGCCCGCCGAGGCGGGCTGCCTCTCCTGGGGCGGGGCGATCGGATTGCGGCCGACTGCGCGGCACCCCGCGGCGCGCCTCGTCTCGGTCGTCGTCGTCTTCGTGGTTGTCGTCGTCGTCGCCGTTGTCCTCGTTGTCGTCCTTGTCATCCTTGTCGTCGTTGTCGTCGTCGTCGTAGTCAGGCGGCATGCGGTCGTCGTCGTCGTCGTTGTCGTCGTCCTCAACGTCGCCCTAGTCGTCCGTCCCGCCGCCGTCGGGCGGCAGGCGGTCGATGCGTCTCGCGCGCGGGGGCTTCCGACGTCTGCGGCCTCTGATCGGACTGCAGCGCGTCCACTAGGATTGCGACGGCCGCAACATACATACCGCTGCGATCCTCCGACCCCGATACCTCTGCTCGGATCCGTTTGGCAGGCTCACGAGTCGTCGCAGTCGCCGCCGCCCGTCGTCGCCGCCGTCGTCGTCGTCGCCGACGTGGCACACGGCGTCGGAGGTCGGGACTGTTGGCCACCCGCCGCCGCAGCGCGCCATGCTACACACAATGGTCGCTGCGTGCGGCAGCCGACGCATCGAAGCAAAATGAAAATCCAATCCTCCCCCTCGTCCTCCTTCTCCTGCCTCCCCCCTCCGCTTTCTCCGCCTCTTGTTCTTCTTCCTCTTCCTCTTCCTCTTCTCCTCCGCCTTCTCCTTCTCCTCCTCCTCCTCCTCCTCCTCCTCGCAACAGGTGATCTTGGTCGGGTGTTGCGCCTCTGTTGGAGTGTTGATTGCAATGAGCCTGCGTTCGGACGGATCCGCTGGATCCGGTGGATCCGGTGACGAATCCCAAACCGGCGCCCTCGCTTGAGACATCCTCACAAAACCGGCCCCGGGGGAGGTGCCCAGAGGAGCCCAGAGCGGCCTCCGGCACCGTTTCCGGACAGATCCGGTGGATCCGCTGGATCCGACGACGAATCCCAAACCGGCGCCCTCGCTTGAGACATCCTCACAAAACCGGCCCCGGGGGAGGTGCCCAGAGGAGCCCAGAGCGGCCTCCGGCACCGTTTCCGGACAGATCCGGTGGATCCGCTGGATCCGCTGGATCCGGTGACGAATCCCAAACCGGCGCCCTCGCTTGAGACATCCTCACAAAACCGGCCCCGGGGGAGGTGCCCAGAGGAGCCCAGAGCGGCCTCCGGCACCGTTTCCGGACAGATCCGCTGGATCCGGTGGATCCGGTGACGAATCCCAAACCGGCGCCCTCGCTTGAGACATCCTCACAAAACCGGCCCCGGGGGAGGTGCCCAGAGGAGCCCAGAGCGGCCTCCGGCACCGTTTCCGGACATCCGCTGGATCCGCTGGATCCGGGATCCGGTGACGAATCCCAAACCGGCGCCCTCGCTTGAGACATCCTCACAAAACCGGCCCCGGGGGAGGTGCCCAGAGGAGCCCAGAGCGGCCTCCGGCACCGTTTCCGGACGGATCCGCTGGATCCGCTGGATCCGGTGACGAATCCCAAACCGGCGCCCTCGCTTGAGACATCCTCACAAAACCGGCCCCGGGGGAGGTGCCCAGAGGAGCCCAGAGCGGCCTCCGGCACCGTTTCCGGACGGATCCGCTGGATCCGCTGGATCCGGTGACGAATCCCAAACCGGCGCCCTCGCTTGAGACATCCTCACAAAACCGGCCCCGGGGGAGGTGCCCAGAGGAGCCCAGAGCGGCCTCCGGCACCGTTTCCGGACAGATCCGGGATCCGGTGGATCCGCCGACGAATCCCAAACCGGCGCCCTCGCTTGAGACATCCTCACAAAACCGGCCCCGGGGGAGGTGCCCAGAGGAGCCCAGAGCGGCCTCCGGACGGATCCGCTGGATCCGCTGGATCCGGTGACGAATCCCAAACCGGCGCCCTCGCTTGAGACATCCTCACAAAACCGGCCCCGGGGGAGGTGCCCAGAGGAGCCCAGAGCGGCCTCCGGCACCGTTTCCGGACAGATCCGGTGGATCCGCTGGATCCGGTGACGAATCCCAAACCGGCGCCCTCGCTTGAGACATCCTCACAAAACCGGCCCCGGGGGAGGTGCCCAGAGGAGCCCAGAGCGGCCTCCGGGGGGGCCCCGGGGGAGGTGCCCAGAGGAGCCCAGAGCGGCCTCCGGCACCGTTTCCGGACAGATCCGCTGGATCCGGTGGATCCGCCGACGAATCCCAAACCGGCCCCGGGGGAGGTGCCCATGGAGCCCAGAGCGGCCTCCGGCACCGTTTCCGGACATCCGATCCGGTGGATCCGCCGACGAATCCCAAACCGGCGCCCTCGCTTGAGACATCCTCACAAAACCGGCCCCGGGGGAGGTGCCCAGAGGAGCCCAGAGCGGCATCCGGCACCGTTTCCGGACAGATCCGGACAGATCCGGTGGATCCGCGCCCCGGGGGAGGTGCCCAGAAGGAGGAAGGAGGAGGAGGAGGAGGAGGAGGAGGAGGAGGAGGAGGAGGAGGAGGAGGAGGAGGAGGAGGAGGAGGAGCCTCTCCTCACCCTCGCCAACAAGCGCACGCACCTTCTTCTATATACAGAAACTCCCGATCAACCGCAGAGCGGCCGGCTAGTAACAATAACCCCATCTTAGGATATGGGGAACAACAGAATTTAAGGCAATAGAGCGTGGAATCTTGTATGAAGAGCACATATATGCACAAAACCAACAATTGGCAGCTCCGGGCCGGCCCGAAAGACCTCCGAGAACTTGTGAACCCATGGGGGCGAATACTTCGGAGGCCACCTGTGCACCGACCCCGGCCTTCTCCAGGCCCATTCACGGAACAGGAACTCTGCGCGCGCCTTCCAGGAAATCTCTGAAGCGGGGCCCGTGCGTCGATCCTGCCTTAAGATCCGCTCCCCCTCTGTCTCCCTCCTTCCTCCTTCCGTCTCCTCTTTTTTTTCTCACCCTCCTCCTTCCTTTTCTTTCCCGTTGCCCCTTCCCCCTCCTGCTTTCCTGCTCAGGGATTACTTTGCATCTATGTGGGTGGGTGGGGGGTGGGGGGTGGGGGTGGGGGGGCAAGGGGGGGTTTCCCCATGGGCAGGCTCCCGATTGGCAGGCCCCCTGCTGCTGGCTGGCTGGTGGCCGCCTGGAAGGCGCGGGCGCGGCGGGCAGCCCCGCGGCCTGCGGCGCGGCTTGCGCGGCGAAGTCCCCAGAGAAAACTTGCGTGGGCTGCGAAGCCCACCCGCCAGCCCAGCCCTTGTCGCTGCTCTCTCCGAGGTCCTGTGTTCCTGGGAACTGGTTCTTGTTCTTGGCGCTTTCGACCTGCTGGTGCAGCAGCATTTTCTGGGCAGACGTATTCTCCTCGTCCTCTAGCATGACCCACTGGAAGCGGAGAACGCCGCCCGTGTCAATTCGAGGCGGCTTTCGCAAGGTCACCGAGCCGTTTCTCCATCCGCAAGTTAAGAAGCAAAATAATATGATACCGTTGGGTCTTCCCAGGGGTTTCTTGGACCGTTTTTCGGCGATCTCGGGCTCGTTCCCCAGTATGGGGCGTTGGGCACTCGAACTGCCGAGAACGCTCAGCACTGCCCGAACCAACATCAAGCTATGTATGTGTTGTTTCCCGAAGCCCCGTGGGTGCCATCTCGGATTATGATTGAGGCGTCTTGGGGGCCCTTTGACCCGTCCTGAGGCCGTTTTGGGTCGTCCAGCCGCGGTCCTGAGCTGTTTCGGAGCCCTTTTGGACCGTCCGGGGAACCCCCTGGGGCCTTCCTGGCCCGTCCTGGGGCCTTCTTTCGTGTTCCCGCCTTGCCAATATCCTGTCCGTCTCTCTTCGCTTCCCCCTCCCGCCGCCATCACCAATCGATCTAATCCGCCCGCGAAGGGCGGCGATTCGAGTGGGCGCGGGGCGGGCCAGAACGCGGCGCGCCAGAGGGCCCCTCGCAATGGTAGCGGAGGTGCTTGCGTTCAGCGGCCAGCAGGCGGCCGCGGTCTATGTGAGCACGGCGCGAGCATTATCCACAGCTTTGGATCCGACCCTTCGGCGGGGGTGGCGGTGCGCCGAGTCAATGTCCTTGCAAGGCGATGGCGCTGGTGAGGTCGAGGCGCGCGTATCCAAACCACTAGTGAAGCTTCGCATTGACGTCGGTACATTGCCGCATGGATCGGCGCGTTGCCCTGCGCATGCGAAAGTTTCAGACGCTAGGTTATGGGGGGCGTCGCGCATATCTAAGAGACGGCGCCCGCATATGAACGAGCGGCACATCGTCGCTATCACCGCGTGGTCACCGCCGAAAGTTTGCATGTAAGCGCTTGTTCGTGGATTGGGCGGCGTTGATCGGATGGGGGCTGCGAGATAAGCGCGGGGAGAGAGGGCCCTCCCGGGCCGCCGCGGCGCGGCCCGCGTCGAGTTCTGAGCCCGCTCAGGGTTCGCGTGGCGTCGGGGCTTCGTGCCCCGCGCCGCCCAGATGAAAACGGCGGGTTTTGCGCGGCGCCTCCACGTCGGGTCTCATCCTGGATCCCCCGCCCTTTCGGCGCGGATGTCTCGGAGCCGACGGCGCGCCTTTCTTGGCGCGGGGGCCGCGCGGCCGAGCGTTTCGGGGGCCCCGCGATTCGCGCGGGCGGGGGCCGATTGCATGGGGGCCCGCCACAATGGCCCGAGCGTTGTGAAGCTGTTTTTCCGCAGTTGTATCCGGTGCGCTTTCAAGCGTGCATTCGCGGCGCCGCGTCGGGGCAGCCTTCCAGCGCATCTTGCGAGGGTTGTTCCGGATTTTACACCCGCTCTTCGTCGGCGATTTTTTTCGGCGCAGACCGGGCGACGTCGCAGGGCGCGTGTTTCGCAGGCCCCGCAGGCGCGGCATTTCTCGCGCGCGAAGTCGAGCAGGAATTGCTCGGGTGGAAACTTGGCGACGCCAAATCAGTGACGGATGCTCGAGTGGCGCTCGCCCTTGGCATGTCGGTCACAGTGGGCGACCTCCGCAAGCATTTGGTTTTTGAAGTGCCGGAGGAACGTTTGAACTGGACTGCTGAGGTCGAGTCGATTATGGCATCGAACGGGCTCTATCCGGCTGCCGCGCGCAAGTTGGCAGGCAATTTTAGTTGGGGAGCAGCGATGGTTTTCGGCAGGGGCGCCAACGTTTTTCTGGCCGCTCTTTTTAATCATGCCACGCGTCAGTCTACCATTCTGCCCCTGCGCCTCCGGCTCGCGCTTGAGTGGTGGCTTCGGTTTCTACGCTCGCAGCCGCGCCGTGCGATCCCTTTCGCGCCTGCAACGTGCACCGGACTGGTCATGCATGCAGATGCGACCTTTTGCGGGTCTCTTTCCTGGGTTATGATTTGCGGCGGCCGCAAGCAGTTCGCCAGGACCTGGGCCCCGCGGTGGCTGCGAGACGTGGTCAAGCCACGCCGGCAACAAATCGGCACGTGGGAGTTAGTCGCTGCAGTGTCGGGTCTTTGGCACGCGCTCAACTTTGTTGTTCGTGGATTCCAACCCGGGCTTTAGGCGCGCTGCTTAATTCGAGGGGCCTCCCGGCAGGTCGACTGGAATTGTCTGGCGGCCTCGATTTGGTTCGCAGCAGCAGACAGGGGCGACGTCATGTGCCCATTCTGGGCACCGTCTGCTCAGGACTTGGCGGATGCCCCGTCTCGCGCCCACGAGGGCCCAGCAAAGATCGATTGTCTATTTGAGCGAGGGTTCGAAGAAGTCGATTGGGTTTGGCCAGAGCGCAGCACTTGGCAGGAGCTCTCGTGAGAACTGTGCGTCCCAGCAGGAAAAATGTAGCGATTGTGGAAGAGCGCGCCGTCGTCGCATCGCCTGCCGCTGCTGCCATCGCCCGCTCTTCCGCAGCCGCTGGCTCAGTTTTGTGGCCGCAGTCGCAGGGCAGTTGTCGTTCTCAGTGCCTCGACGCTCCGCGGGTCGAGCGCGGCGGCGCCCGATGCGCGCCGGGGTCCTTCCAGAGCTCCGCGAGACAGTCGAGGCGGAGATTCCGGCTGGTCTTCGCCAGTGGTTCCACTGGCGCGCTCGCCGCCGCCCTGCCGCCCGGACCGCCCGGATCTTCTTCTTCGGGCGCTGGCGGGCGGCGGGGCGGTGCGCGGCAGCGACCTGCAAGGTCTTGCTCTGGGCGAGCTGCGGCAGGCATGGCCATCCTCGAGAGCGCCGTCGGACGTTTCCCTCCGCGCAGTGGCTTGGGCGCCAGGCGCGCGCGGCGAGGCGGCGGCCGACTGCGCCGCCAAGAGCCCCGGCCCAGTTCCGGGAGCAGGCGGGGGGGAGATCTTCTGCTCCCCGCCTGCTGCGCCCAGCGCCGACTGCGCGGCCGCGGCGGTGGAGGTTTTGGTGCAGGCCAGGGCTCGCAAGGCTGCGCCCCCCACCGTGGCGCCAGCCGAGGCCGTCGCGGTCGCGTGCAAGGCGCCTGCCGCAACGGTCCCAGAATCGGGGCCGAGTTCGGCGCTGCCGCCAGCGCGGGCAGAGTGGCTGGCCGGCGCCCCGGAGCAAATGCGGACAATTCTGCTGCGCGGCCGCCTGCTGCTACAAGAAATTGGGAATTGGAAGAAAAGCGGGCCGCAGTGCGCGTCGGCAGTGCGACTGTGGGGCAAATTCGCCGAGGCTGCCGGCGCCCCGGAGTGGCCGCCAGACGAGGTTGTGTTGTCGGCGCTGGTGTTCGCCGTTCCTCGTGCTTCCACTCCCGCGATGCTGTTCGCACTTGCCACGTTGCGTCTGCTTCGGGCGCCTTTGGGCGCGCTTGCTGATGCCAGCTCGCTCGTCAAAGGGGCGATGGGGAGCTCTACTGCCGCGCCCCGGTTAAAGGCCATCCCCACGGCCAAACAGGTCCGGGATCTTGCGGCGCACGCGCGCGAGGCGCTTGGGGATTCAGAACTTGCGGACAGCTGGGTGGTAGCGAGACACTTCGCTCTGCTGCGTGGCAGCGAAGTTCTGGAATTGGGGAGTGGCGCTGAGCTCTCGGCATTTAGCAGCACCGTGCGCGAAGGCGTTCCTGAGGCAACGATCGTGTTCAGCAGAAGGAAGATGCAGAGCAAGCCGGTGCGCGTCGTGCGACAGTGCGTCTGCAGAGATATGGCCTCGGTTCTGTGTGGCGTCTGCATTCTGCGTCGTCGGTGGCGGCATGGCAAGGTGTTTCCGTCGTTGCAGTACGACCGGGCGCTTGCAGCGCTGAAAACGGCTGCCCTTGCCATCGGCTTGCCCCGAGGCGCCGAGTGGGGGACCCACTGCTTCCGCCGAGGGTGGGCAAACGACGCGCTGCGCCACGGAGGGGTGCCGGCGCTGTTCTACTCCGGCGGCTGGCGCGGCTTGGCCGTTTTCGGCTACGCGTCCGCCCAAGCGCAGGGCGAAATGTTTGCTGCGCAGTGGGCGGCGGAGTTTTCCGAGTCGTCAGACGGCGATTCTGGCTCCGAGTCGTGAGAAACATACCAGGTCGCAAGTGTCAATATGCAAGTGGCCGACGCCGCCCCCCGCGAGCGTGGCTCGGGACACGAGTCGCCTGCATTGGGGGTGCTCTTCGGGGCGGGCGCGTCGAGCCCTCGCCATTGGGGCGTCGCGCAAAGGGTTCTGTCGCCCGCCGCACCGGCAGCGTCTTGGCTGCTGTCCCAAGGTCGGCGCGCCCACTCCACCAGAGGCGAGGGCAGTATATTTTCATACCCCCTATATCGGAGGTTTCGCAGGGAGGAAAATCTGCAACTGAGACGGGGTTTTCGATTCGTGTACCTTCTGATTCATGGGCTTCATGCGCTCAGGTGTGCCAGGGGGCCCTCATGGCTTTGGGAGCTCCCACGGGAGCGGCGGATTTCTTTGTCCGCAGGGGCAAGCGTCTCGCAGAGTTCCACAGTCCGCTTGGCGCGGAGGCTTCAGGTGTCCGCCTGGCGCGGAGGCGGGGTAGCAAGTATCCGGCTTGAAGTGGCCCTAACGGGCCCGTTCTGCAATGGCTTCCGCTTGGCGCGGAGGCAGGGTATCAGGTGTCCGCCCCAAGTCGGGGCCCTGCTCAGGCCTCGCGGTCTGGGCCAGGACAAGCGGGGCACTTGAAGCCCGCCCGCCCATCCCTGTGTGCTCTGTTTTTTTTTGTTCCTCGCCATGGTGGCGTTTGGATCCTCCTGGGGGGTGGAGTCGGTGCGGGGGCGTCGCGCAAAGGGCTCTTTCGCCCGCCGCACCGGCAGCGTCTTGGCTGCTGTCCCAAGGTCGGCGCGCCCATTCCACCAGAGGCGAGGGCAGTAGATTTTCTGGTCGCCCTTGTTCTTCCGCTTGCCGCCCCTCCTCACGACTCCAGATTCCCCTGCCCACGATGTTGGTCCTCTCTTGCCACCTGCGCTGAGCTGCAGCCCAGTTTCCCCAGACGCTGGCGAGGAAGCCTGGGGGTGCCAGTTGCCCCTCATCTCGTGGGGCGGCCGCGGAGGATACATGTTCACGACAAGGCTGCTGCTGCTGCTGCTACTGATGATGACGACGATGACGACGACGGTGATGATGAATACGAGTATGGAGAGGAATATGCAAATGACGATGAACGTGAGGATGATCATGATGATGCAGACGGAATCTCAAGATTTTGGATATGAATATGGTGACGATAGTGATGACGATGATGTTGTTTATGATGATGATGATGATGATGATGATGATGATGATGATGATGATGATGATGATGATGATGATGATGACGATACTGACGATACTGACGCTGACGTTGAAACTGATGCTGATGATGACGCTGCTGATGATACTGATGGGCATGATGACGTGCATGGTAAGGGTGATGGTGGTGATGATGATGGTGGTGGTGGTGATGATGACGATGACGATGCTGATGATGCTGATGATGATGCTGACGCTGACGTTGAAGCTGATGCTGATGATGACGCTGCTGATGATACTGATGGGCATGCTGATGGGGATGGTAAGGGTGATGGTGGTGATGATGATAATGGTGGTGGTGATGATGACGATGATGCTGATGATGCTGCTGATGATGCTGATGATGATGCTGATGCTGATGCTGCTGCTGCTGATGATGATGATGATGAGGAGGAGGAGGAGGAGGAGGAGGAGGAGGAGGAGGAGGATCGGCAGTCGCTGCAGGTAATACGGGGTACGCGGCACTCGAGCACCGAGTGCGAGGTCAGTTCCCGCCCTCGCCATCCCTGCCCCTTCGCCACCCTTTCTCTATTCCTTCTCCCTCCCTTCTCTTTTCGCTCCTTGTTCGTCGCTCGTCGCCCCTCCCATCCCTCTTTCTATCCTCTGCCTTCTCATCTTCCTCCCTCTCCTCTTCCCTGCCTGCTCCCCCCTCCCAGAGAGCGTCGCCGCGGCGAGGTGGGCGAGCTGAAGGCGCCCAAGTCTGGGCTTGCTGCCGGCATCGTGCTCGAGTCCACCTTCGACCAGCAGAAGGATCCCCCCTCCTCCTTCCTTCCTTCCTCCTCCACCTCCTCACTCGTCCTCCCGCCTCCCTCCTCCTTCCCATTCTCTTCAAGGCAGGGGAGCTCCTGGGCCGAGGATAGGCTTGTCCAGGGGCGGTGGATATGCATAGATCACCTCCTACCCCAGGCCGACGGAAACGAAACACGGGACCGAAATGCCGCCCAGGCCTTCGGCGCGTTCGCGCGCCTTTACGCGCCGTTGCGGGGTGGACGAGCTGGGCCCTCTTCTCTCCCGTCCCTCCTCCCTCCTGCCTGCCTGTTTCATCCTCGCTCCTCCCTTCTCGATCCCGCCGCGCGCCTCCTCCCCTTGTCCTTTCCTCCCCTCGGTCCTCCCCGCTCCCCACTCCTGCCCCTTCCGCGTCCGGAGGGCGCGCTGGCCACGCTGCTGGTCCAGAAGGGCACCCTGCGCTTGGGCGCCCCGCTCGGCAGCGGGAGGGGCTCGTGTCGGCGTTTGTCCCGATAGTGCCTAGCAATGCCCGCTCCAGCTGCCTTTCTTAGTGCAGGGTTGTCCCAGAACGATTGATCCTATGTCACGCGAGGGTTCGGAGACCGCTCATGTCAATGGTTCCGCAGCTGTTCATCAACTAGTCTAAGTGGTGACTTGTTTGGAGTTTCGGGGATTGTGGGGCGCTCTTGTGCGTTTTCGGGTCAGCTTGGAGCTCTCTTGGCCCTTGCGCTATCCTGGAGCCGTCTTAAGGCCTCAAGACCTCGGAAACGAAGAGACGAACATGCAACAATAACGCAGGGAGGCGTCTTTCAGAGGCTTCGTGGTCACTTGAGGAGTTGTCTTCGGGTGGGTTTGGGAGCCTCTGAGACTTGAGGATTCCCCGCCCTGTCTGTGGTGTATTACATCGTTTGGTGAGATTTGATGGTCCCCAGGTAATGTTTTCTGAGTTGGTTGTTTGATGGTTGGCCGCGCGGTTTCTCTCTGAAGAATTGGGGTCCGATGGGTAGGCCAACGCCCCCAACTAATGTTGATCATTGGTTTTTTGAAGCCAACATACCATCGGGAACATACAAGTTAAACCTCTATTAGGAACGACACGCGAATATGTGTGTGTGCACTTCTCGTGCGTGCGAAGCTGTTTAGACCCCTCCTTTGCGACTCCCTTGGGGCTCCTCAGTGGTTCCAGGACCCCCTATCGGGCCCCTGCTCCTCAAGGCACCTCCCCTTGGGTCCCCTCTTGTGGTCTCTCCCTTTGGGTTCCAGCTTGGAGCCTAAGAGTAAGTAGGGAAGTAGGGCATTACGTGACGGCCCACGCCTTGGTGCAACCTATGTGGTGCAACACGTTGGCGCTGAGTAGGCGAGATGCTGATACCATGCAGCCAATATGTGTGCGAACATTTACAGTGACAACAATTCTCGCGTTGACACGTGATTCTGAAAGTTGGCACCCTTTCCTGGCGTAAGCATGTTTTGATCAAGCCCCATCGGCCTTTGCAATTTCGCTCGTCATGGCGTCGCCTTCGCCTAAGCAGTGGCTGAGCGATGAGGAGTTCAGCCCTCTCAGCCTGCCGACGCCGGAGCTGGAGGCGTCGCCGCCCGCGCGGGCCGGCGAGGACAGCTGCAGCCAGGAGGAGAACTGGCAAGAGGCGGCTGACGAGCCGCCTCCTGGGCTCGCGGAGAGCGGCGGCCAGCTCGTGGCAGTGGGGCCGCGGGCCACTGTGCAGCCGTCGGGGCCGCAGGCCGTCATCGTGCCGCCGTTCGAGGATCGCATCGCGGATGATCCACGCGGCCCCATTGCCAAGCTGGCCAGTGTGATGGTTCGGCGCGGGTACCCCGACACCATGCAGCCTATTGGCCTGGAGAGCGCCACGCGTTTGGCTGCTCGGCTCGGCGTCCTGGCGAACCGTTTTCGCGAGAAGGTGTACGCCGTCGGGCACGCCGCCTTGGCGACTGGCCAGAGGCAGGCTGCTGCCATCCTGCCGAGGCTTCTGGCCGTCTGCAGGGCATCGCACGGTCCACGGGATGCTTGCGGCCCTCGGATGTATGCTGTCATTTGCGATGCGCTGGCACACGAGAGCTGTGTGTTATCAGCGCTGGTTTCAGCAATGTGCTTCGCAAGCGCTTTGATGACAGAGGCGGTTTTTTTCCATATCATTGGAAGCACGCCCACCCGCATCAGTGAGCTAGAGACGCCGAGTGCTGATATCATAAACGCCTGCTTGCATCAGCAACTGGACCAGGTGTATGACAAATTTGTTGAGGGGCGAATTCCTCGGCACATATAGTTTGCGACGCTGCAGGCAACAACCTTGATGATGAGCGGCTCATGTCTGCACGGCGCCCTCTGGCGGGGGGGGGCAGAACGTCAGGGTCTTCGGCGCCGGGTCGTGGATGCGCAGCGACAGAGTGGCTGACGATATGTTCATCGCGACCCGCCTGGTGTCGTTGACAGATGCTTACCTGTTGAAGCAGTTGGCAACGTCTGGGGCTTCCTTTGAAAAGACCGCAGCAGCTCAACGTGGACACCAGATGTCTGCACAAGGATGTGTACGATGCTGTCTTCGACTCCGTCGCCTTGGACGACCGTGCAAAATCGCTTAGAAGAGACCGCGTTGACAATGTATCGGCTCTTTGCTAGAATGGTAGCTGCTGCGTACCACCTTGTTTTCAGGGCCGTCCGTTCGCGGCCAATGTTCTTGTTTTCAACGTTGGAGGACCCTGAGATCATCGACGAGCCCAGGCGCGCAGAGCCGTGCCTCCTCGACCCCTTGCACAGAGAACTTCGTGAATTTCTACAGGGGCGCCGAGGACTCGGCGACGGCCATGGCCGACCTCGAGGGCGCCGCTGTCCTGATCGACGCGGACACGGCCGACGCGGGGCGTCTCCATTCGGTCAGTCAACGGCGTGCGCGTTTCAGATAATGGACAAGCATTGAGGCTGTTGAGGAGATGGGCGCGCATTTTTCTGCGCATTCTGCTGGTGATTGGGGCCCCGACTCAACGCGTCACGGCCGCGGCCGCGCTGGGCGCATGCCCGAGGCGCCGGGGCCGCGCGGTCGGCCCGGGCGCGGGCGCGGCAGCCTTCGGTTCTGGATGTGGCGGGCGTTCGCGTACGTGTACGGCCGTTGGCTTGACGCGGAGACGGCCGCCGCGCTGTCGAGGCAGTTCAGGCAGCTTGGCGCTGATGAGCTGGAGCATTGCCTACTGCTTGCTGCGATCGCCAGGGGTCGGCGCCGCGATGGGGGGCGCGCTTTCGCAACGAAGCCGCGCGCTGTCGCGGTTCCCCCCGTCGATCGCGGCGCGCCTGCACTTGGGCCCCTGCCGCCTCAGCAAGGGCGGCCTCGACCCGATGGCGCGCCAGCTGAGGGCCGCGGAGGGCGGCCCGCATTCGCAGATGTACCCTCGCCGGTTTTGGACGCAGCATTCGTGGCCGGAAGTCGCGCCTTGCCCCTTCGGCGCCAGCGGGCTTCGCCCGGCGGTGCGGTAGCTGGATTGGTGAGCAGAGCGAGCGGCGCGATCAAACAGGATCGTCGAGCAGCATCCGACTGCGCGTTTGTGATCGTGAATACTCCATTGACGCCGACTGGAGATGCTGATGTCCACGCTGATGCTGGCGCTGTTTTGCAGTGTCGCAGGCGTCCGTAGCTTGTTTCTGGCGAGGCGGCCGGAGCCGTCGGCGCGGATGGGCTGATGTCTACGGCGCAGTGGGTTTTGGCATGGGGGTCGATGCGCCAGGCGGCGACGGCTGCCAGTTGCCCCCCGTGCCGCAAAATTCCCCCAGTTGGTCGGCGATGTCACGAGGCTGGGATGTGCGCCCGCACGGGCGACGGCTTGGAATTAGGGAAGTTCGAGGCGCACATCAGGCCAGCTTTTTCTGAGGTGGCGCAATGCTGACTACAGGCAGTCGCGGGCCATGCTCGTCAAGGGTGAGGCGGTATTTCGCTTCGCCTTCATGGCTAGCCATGCCCTTTTAGCCGAGTTGGATGATGTTGAACTGTCCTCCGATGGGCCTGTGGCGGCAGCTGGTCATGGCGATGAGTATCGTTTTTCCATGCCGCATTCCAATTTCAGAAGCTTTTCGAGAGATGGTGCAGAAGCCTTAGGTGCATCGCCCATGCGAGCGCATGAGCCTACGCAAGTTTGGCGTTCGTTGTTGGAAATGGTCGAGTCACTCACGCGCGAGTCTTCTATGACAGTCAGTTTCTGACAGTTTCGCGGCCGATCCACGCGCGTTCGCTTGATCGAGCCTTGGCAGCTGCGCGTCAAGAAGCTGTCGGACGATTTCGGGCCCCAGCTGAAGAGGCCCCGCGCTCGGCGGGCAGGCCGAGGCCGTCGAGGTCGAGGCGGGGCGCGGGCCTCCCGGCATATCCAGGGGGGGGGGGCGCGCGAGGCATTCTGCAGATCCAGCTCGGCCGTCGAGCCGATCGGGTTCGCCGTCGAGGTCGACGTCGTCGAGTTCATCGTCGTCGAGCTCGTCGAGCTTGGGCTCCGACGCCGACGAGGCGGACGGCGACGTCGGTCATCGATGCCATCGTCGCTCATGGTCGCGCGGTGGACAGGATGATTTAGGGCTCGGGCTGCAGGGGGCGACGGCGCACTACGCGATCAACACCCTGGCGGTCCTCATCACGTTGCCGTTGGGAATCGCGACGCAGGCCATAGGGTTTGGGATTTTGTTTCGTGGAAAGGGCTGACAGCTTGACGGGAAAGGCCGCCTTGACCTTCGCGTCGCCCGCGGAGGTTCTCGCGCCTCTCTTGCCCAGGGCTTCCATTGAGATCGACGATGACATTTTCAGGGGCATTGCGAAGGGGCGCGTCGCGTGCATTCCCGACGCGGCATGAGTGCGCGCGCCAGAAGGGCCTCGCCGATGGGGCGCGTCGCGCGCTTCTGCAAGGGCGTGGGGCAAGGGCGAGGTCTCAGAGGACAAGTGGACCAAGCTCTACGCGCAGGGTCGCGTCGTCTCGCGCGGCTTCGCCGAGGGCCTCGGCGACGCGGGCGGCTCCGCGCTTTTCCAGGTCATCTCGCCCGTCCTCCCCGAAGATCTGCGGCGCCCTGCGCGGGGTTGTCTGGCCCCTCCCTCCCCTGCCCCCGTTGTCGGGGCGCGCGCGGCGGGCGCGCGGCAAGGGCGCGCGCTTCGTGCGCTGCGCGCGGAAGGTCTTGGGTTTCAACGCGCGCTTCCCGATCGTCTCTGGGGTGGCGCTGGCGATGTTCGCGCAGTCGAGCTCCATCGTGGCGTCGGCGTTCGAGCCGCTTGTAGCGCCCCTGATCGTCGCGGTGGAGGGCGTTCCCCCCTTGTCCTTCGGGACGAACATCGGCGCCGCGTGCGCGGCCTTCCTTGCGGCCGTGGCGACGGAGATGAGAACTGCGATCTGGATATTTCCACTGCCGCCTCTTCTTCAGGGTCTTCGCCATCTGGTTCCCGGCGCCGTTCGCAACGCGCGTGCCCTCGGCAGTCGCGGAGCCCT